GTTTCTCAATATTCCTTCGTTTTTTCCCAATTTTCCGTTTTTCCCAATTTTTCTTAATTTTCCTCAATTTTCGCGGTAATTTAAATTTTTCTCATTTTTAAATGATTTTTTAGATCATTGATTGGAGGAAACAATCACAATTTAGATATTTCCCACAAAATTCGAAAATCCCAAAAAATTCGCCCAAAGTGAGCTATTTTATAAATTGTTAGAACAGGCAATAAAACACTACAAAAAGTTAGTGAAAGTAATTTTTTTCGACCAATTACCACGAAAATTTGAGCAAAAATGATGAAAAACGAAGGAAAACGGAGAAAATCCCAAAAATAAAATTTGCGAGCGATGACGTCATCAATCCATGGCCGTGGCCGAGCTGCGGGGTTTTCTCTTCCATGGGAAAATTTTGCGAAATTGAGATCTTTTCGCAATTCCCATTTTTCTCCGTTTTCCTTCGTTTTTCAACAGTTTTGCTCAAATTTTCGTGGTGGTTGGTCGAAAAAAATTAATTTTATAACTTTTGTAACGTTTTATTGCCTGTTCGAACAATTTTCGAAAGAAAATAGCTCATTTTGGGCGAATTTTTGGGATTTTCGAATTTTGTGGAAATAGCTAAATTTGGTTGTTTTCTTCAATCAGTGATGTAGAAAATTGTTTAAAAAGGAAAAAAATTTAAATTACCGCGAAAATTGAGAAAAATTGGGAAAAAGACGAAGGAATATTGAGATACAAAGGGAATTGAAATAGAATTGAAAAACAAGGAATTGAGAAGAGAAAAATTGGCATTGAGGAAAGTATCGGCTGGGTTTTGAACTAAAATTAAGCATTAAAAAACTGAGTTTGTAAAATTTGTCAAGTTTAGCTTATTGTCAAAAAGAACAATGTGACAATGAGAAGTGAAAAATTTCTGTCGTTCGAAATTCTCAGATACCGAAATACTGAAGTTCCAAAGTTCTGAAATTCTGAGATTCTGAAGTTCTGAAATTCTTTGATTTCAAAGTTCTGAAATTCTGAGATTCTTAAATTTGGAAAGTCTCAGATTCTGAAGTTCCGAAATTCTCAGATTCCGAATTCTGGAATTCTAAGAATTCTGAAGACAATGAAGAAAATTTCTGCTGTAATTATTGAAAATTCAGAAATATTGAGATTCTGAAGTTCTGAAATTTTGAAGTTCCGAAGTTCTGAGATTCTGAAATTTTGAAGTTTTGAAATTCTGAAATTCTGAGATTCTCAGATTCTGAAGTTCCGAAATTTTCAGATTCCGAAATACTGAAATTCCAAAGTTCTGAAATTCTAAAAATTCAGAGATTTTCAAGCTCTGAAATACAGGAATTCAGAAACTTTGTCAAAAAAAAAAATTGTACCCCCGAATCACAAATGTTGTACCCCTAAATGAAATGAGTTGTACCCCAGAATTATTGGTAGATTGTACCCCCGAATCGTTGTACCCCCGAATTTTTGTACCCACGAATTTTGTACCCCCGAATCACCAATTTTGTACCCCTAAATCAGTTGTACCCCCTTGTACCCCCGAATCATTGTACCCCCCGAATTTTTTGCCCTAAATAACAATTTTCATCGTGTTTATTATTATAAAAACAGTTTTGACTCATCTCTGCTATTCGCAATGTCTGATCTGAGGTGTTGTTCCGAACTCCACCTCGGCAACCTTCAGATCCATCAGGTTCCGACATCAGGAGAATTTTTTTCTGAGGCATTCAAGACTCTGGAAACACTCTGGCAGGTCCCCCAAAGTTTTTCAATTCAGAAGCAGCTTGCTAACAACTTCGCTGGTGGAGCTTTCTTAGTTTGATTACCTTTCTTCAAAATTTCTACTTGCTTATGTACTTACTGATCTGTTCCAAATTAATCGGCACAACAGATACTGTTAGCAAGCTGCTTCTGAATTGAAAAGCTTCGGGGGACATACCAGAGTGTTCCCAGAGCCTTGAATGTTACAGGAAAAATTTTCCTGGTGTCGGACCTGAAGGATCTGAAGGTTGCCGAGGTGGAGTTCGGAACAACACCTCAAATCAGACATTGCGAATAGCAGAGGAGTCAAAAGTGTTTTTATAATAATAAGAACGATAAAAATTGTTATTTAGGCTATTTTCCAACACGGAATCAATGGATTTAGCCATCTGGGCTGCAGTGAAAGTTCTGATGACTGAAACGCTGATTTATCCATGATCCACCTAGGTCAGACGCTTCATTTTCCCACAAAAGTATGAAAATGTGCTGAGAATTAGATATCCAAAACAAAAAATAGTTTTCATAACGAGATCTGGTGATAACGAGGCCAAAACCCCAAAACACGCTATACTTTTGACGCGGCGCATTTCCGATGTTTTGTTCACAGATCAGACCGAACGCAACCGATCGAAACAAAAACTTCCAGACTTAGGTTTTATTAGACGCTGGTTGAAATGGTGTAAACAGATTTTTCCTATCTCATACTCCAACTCTGGAAACTCATTTTTCGAGGGGGGCGCTATACTTATGACAAGCACTGTACATTTGAACTCTAATTGGTACTTGAATATTTTGAGGGGGGGGGGGGGGGGGTAGCTAGTTTTGTAACCAAAAATTCCTGTTTCAACTTTAGCTCATTTCGAAGTTCTGAAACCAATCAACTTTATTGACTCGCTCCGGTTGTATCCACCAAATGCCAAAATTTCAACAAACATTAATTTTTGAATTATTTCGCGAAAAAACTCGTTCCTGACCGATACTTTGAAAAAATATACTTGCACTTTGAGCCCAATTATCTTGGTTTCTATAAGAGGTATCAAAAGGTTGTAAACTATTAAATTGTTGATAAAATTATGATAAACAATTTATCAGTTGACGAATTTTTTATATCTCTCAAAAGAACCAAGAAAATTGAGTTCAAATAAAGCGTTTTTTCATTTCACAAGTCCTCATAATTTTCCAGGATTACGAAACCAAAAAACGTCGATGGATATCCTACCTTCTCAGCACTATTCTTTACATCATTGCCTTCGTTTCTGCTCAATTTTTCATTTTCGGCTCGTCGTGTCGGGAAATTCACATTTTCCTGATTACCGGTTTCAATTTGGTGGCTTTTGTGGTACGAACTATTACATTCTACTGCAATCGGTTTTCTTGCGTTTCAGCTAACATTTATCATGGAGAGATACAATAAAAAGCAGTATGCAGTATTACGAAAAAACGAGAACAGCGACTATTCGTTGAGTGTCAGAGCTCAGTTGTCGGAAAATATTAATAGTACTTTGGTGGGTTTTGTTGAAATATATGCTCAGCAATTGGAATGATCGGCATTGGATTTGAAAAAGAAACTTTATGAAGGTTTTGGAACTTAAATAATTTTGCCTGATAAAAAAGAAGGGTGCGCATAAGTTTAAAAATCCCATTTAAATGAAGTTTTCGGTGCATTTCGGCGTCACGGTGTTTACACCTCTCATTTTGGATGTCGTATACACCATCGGTAAGCAATCACAGGCTGTGACAGTAAAGCTCAGGCGGTAGTGGTGCGGCTAACCTAATATTCTGATTGCAAATTCGGCCTTTCGAGCGCCTTCTCTTAACAGAGTCTTTTGCGAAATTATTTCTCCAAGATACCACCTTTCACTAACAAGAGTAAAATAAAGTTATTGCTTCAAGCAAGAGATTGAGGTTATGACAAGAGATGGCAGTTATGAAAAGAAAATTATAGGAAAATTTATTAGGAAAAATATCTGAGTTTTCTGTAACAGTACTAAAAATATTTTTTTAAAAACTAGAATCGAATCGGTTTGAAGTTTAAGGAAATAATAGTTAACTCAAAGTTCTTATCATATAAGCTCCACGACAAACTAAGCTTGCCGTCCAATTATGTTTTTGGGGCACTGAGCTACGCAGTCGCAAGTGCTGGCTTACGACTGACATCTTATGTAAATGGGGTACGGTAGAACACGAAAGGTCTTAACAATGATCATTGTACACCGATAAACACATACTTGCATCGCTACCTACTCAGGTACACGGTTGGTTCAGCCAACCTATAGATTTAATTTCCACATCGCTTCCAAATAGTTGTTTTGATTTCCCATGCCCAATTATATATTGACTTTTCCCAACGACACAGTACGTTTTAATTTGATCATGAAACAGTAAATTTTAGCCCTTCAAAGTAATGTGCTTCTCCATCGCATTCTTCGCTTCTCTTTGTACTTCAATGCTCCACGTGGATGAATGGACCGAGTCTCAAACAATTAGAAATTGGGTTTATATTGCATTCAACTTCAGCTGTTGGTCCTATGGAACACTTGTCCCGTTCTTCATGCTGGCTTACAATCCGTTATGGCAGAAAGAATTGAAGAGGTTGATTAGAAAAGTGAGTGTGCTCTAGAAATTTATAATGAGCAAAAGACGAATTTACACTAATGAAAAAAGTTTCTATTCCTACTGTTATACTCTCTGCATAAAACATTTTATTTCTTCACACTCATAATACTGTTGATCTTTCAGTTCTGCTGCTTCTGCATTCCAAACCGCGTAGCTGCTGATCCGGCAGTTCGAAAAAAGAAGACTCAAAAAGTGAAGGATACATTTGGAAATAATTGTTTGGTGGATGACACTGAGCACACGACTATCTACTTTTCACAATTAAATGCTGAATGGAATGCTCCATCGGAATCAGAGAAGAAATGTGAGAAGAAGAAAAAGAAAAGGGACAGTAAGACGACGGAAGGGCTATCTGTTCCAAGTCAAGTTTCTCCGAGGTCTATTTCCAATGGTTCGGTTGCTTCGAGGCAGGATTTGGCATGATTAATATAGTTTTGATTTCAATAAAGGGTTTTTTAAAAATTTTGTTTGAGTTACAAACCTAAATGTTCAGAAACCAAACTGGCAGTGTAAAAGGGCCTCTGTAACAGAATGACCAACTTTTCAGAATCTTTTAAATTTTTTGAATGAGTTTTTTAAAATCAAAAATATACTATTTCAAAGAAGAAGTAAACTTAAAATATCAATCTGATATCAATACTAATTCTTCTCTATAAATTTTTAAATGGCTCCGCCTACTTTCCTAACCTAAATGCACATGTCAAATACTCCTCCTCCCCTCGTCGCCCTATGAACTTAATTATTGTTCAGCCCTACTCCTCTGACTATTTTTCTTCAATTGTTCCCCTGTGGAATGCCATCACTTCCCAAGTTACCCGATTTCTCCTACCTTCCGAGTTTGAATCCTTAATGTCTTCCAGTATTACCCGTTATTGATATATTTGCTCCCTATTTTTCTTTTTCTACCGGTTACATCTTTCCTGTGTCAAATATCTAAATTATCCCGTTTCCCCTCACCTACTCAGATCGGCCTCGTGAGGGGCATTTTTTCTGAGTCTTTTATGTCCTGCCCTCTAATGTTTTATTACACCTGATCAATAAACAAATTAAATTAAAAATTAAAATTAAATACGTCGTTGCATCCAAGGCTGTCGAATTTGGGGCGAGGCATTTTTAGTTCTGGTACTTCTGAAATAGGTAGGATTCGGCGGCCTAGCGGCCCTGATAGTTTTTGGCTGGCTGAGCTATTTTCGAAAGAACGGACTGATATGTCCATGGTAACACACCGGCGGCCTCAATCACGGCCGGCCGCGGCCCTGTTTTCGACAGCCTTGGTTGCATCTATCTTTACGCCGGAAAGTTCTTTCATTAAAATTAATATTACTTAATAAATTATATTTCCTCTATATTTTGCCTGGGAGTTGAACTCTTGGACAAAATACTAGAAATACTGTAACGTTAACGGGTGAGCTACGATATTGCGAAGTCATTTCAGATCAAATACCGTAACCTGAGAAGCTACAGTATTCAGTTTTCACATTGCTTTCAACGTCTTGTTCCGAGATTTCAATTCGGCTCATGAAGTGACTTTTCCAAGTAAAACAGTGATTATTGTATAGAACTTGAAACGGTAGTTCTTTAAGCCTTCAAAGTAAAAAAATCTCAAATCTTTCTCAGTTTCTGAAATGGCTTAATTCTATGAATTTTTGTTTTTTTTTCTGTCTTCTACGTTTCTTCTACGTTTTTAGATTGAAATCTCGAAAAATCGAACGAAAACAATGAAATTCATCAAAAAATTGAAGGCACATGTATTGATAATGTTACAGTATTCTCTGCTCTTTTTGGACGTTGTGTCTTTTAGTGGAATTTCAGCCTGGAGTAAAATGTATACAAGGAAGTGTTTTTTCCGGTTTCTTCATTTTCAAATATTTTCCTAATTTTTTGCGCGACATTGCTCGATGAAATTATATCATCTTGTTTTTATTCCGTTTATGTAAATCTGAACACCAATTAATATACCGTGAAAAATATTATGAATGAAAAAATATCTCGTCATACAAACAAAGCTGAAAATTTTCTCAGTTTCAGAAATGGCTTAATTCTGTGAAACTTCATTGTGGAATTTAATTCCATAATCAATTATTAGTCTTGTAAGAAATCGGTTCCTGTTGGAGCTGTAAAGAACATCGAATACCGTAATCCTTATATAAATATCCGTGTCTTTAAGCTACATATTATTAAAACAATTTTGCCTATTTTTCTAACTTTTTGGACAATTTTTTTAGGTTTTTTGTTGAATATTTCGAAAAATCAAATAAAATATTTCGAAAAATCAAATAAAATATTTCGAAAAACCAAATAATTAAAAAATTAAAGACGCATGAATTCGTAGTACATACTACGGTAATCCCTGCTTTTTTCGTCGCTGTGTGGACTGCATCTTATGCCAAAATTGACATTTTCTTATAAACGATCCACACAAGGAAGTGTTATTTTCCTTCCTATCTAATTTTTTTTCGGTTTCTTCAGTTTTAGATAGTTTTCCGGATTTTTTGCGAATTCATTCCTCTGCAGTATTCGTAGAAATGATGTCATCATGCCTTTATTCACTTTGTATAGATCTTAAAAATACCCTTAAAAATACCTGAACCTTGCAAATTTCTATACGAAATCACACACTCTTTTTTCTCTCCCATCATTTTTTTCTCCAAAAAAAAAATATATTTCCTTATTAAGATTCTTTTTATATATGCATATCCTTTCTCATTTTTTTCTAATCCTATCCATATATCTGGTTAGTCATATTCCCTGTTCCAACGAGATCATCTCATTTCCTATTTTTCAGAAGACAACCTCATTTTGTAATTGTGCTTTTTTTTACGTCTTTGAGATACAATGTACATGATTAAGATTGAAGCATCAGATTGAAGCGGAAGATACTAATAGAAACAAATAGTACAATTTTAATGGGTTCAAAAGGTTCAAATCAACTGATCAAGCACTGTTTAAATTTTGGGTGGAGCTTACTAAAATTCTTTTTTAAAATTATTTATTGAAATTTTGGGTGGATCTCACTTTTGGAAACTGGAAAAATATTTATTTTACTTCTTCAACGACCATGTGAAAAATGTTCATTAGACTTGTTGACTAATGGTTCTTCTGCATGAAGCGAGTTATCTATTTTTTCGACTGTGTGCAGTGACGGGTGTTTACACCCTCAACGTCTCGTTTGTCTATCGTACCCATCACAAGTACTCCATATGTAGAAATACGTCTAAACAGCGTAGCTCTGTTGGTTGAGGGCACCTCCAATATTTTTCACTATCAACTTTTCATGAAGATCCTTCCTATTGGCGGCATAACAAGACAAATCATTTGATCTCACCTCTTTTGAATGGTTTTCTTCGAAACTTTTTTTTCTACAGAAACTTATGAACAAAAGCTGATGTGTAACTATAAACTTTTATAAAAAGTGAAACTTACCCAATAGATGAAACAGTTAGAAACCTTTGGAAATCGCAAACAACGTTTTTTTCTTTACATTTTCAAATGCGTTGCAAGAAACGTCCCGTTTGACAGTCCAATTAGTGGAATAGTGACAATGTTTAGAGAAAAGCTGAAACATTATTGGAAATCCAATTTGAAAATCATCAAGTCTATTCAAAAAAACATTTTTTGAAAACTCAAGTTTTTTTTGCATGCAAAACTGGCTGGGCGTTATTTGGTTTCAAGTTGATAATTTCGCTAGTTACAATTTTTTCAGCCTTGATTGTTTGAAAAATTATGTCTCGAATGAACTGAATAGGATCAAACTTTTGTTGTAGATTCCCTCCACTTAAGTCATTTAAAAAATCATCACAGTTCTAAAACAAATTTTAGACCAATAAATTGCCTGAGGTTTAAGCAATATCACTTTTTGAGAAAATGCAAATCATTCGAATTTTGACAAAGACGATTGGAAATCGTGAAAAACGTTTATTGAGCTTTACAATTTTTTTTTTACCTTTTCATCGATTACATAATTTGCCCTTTTCATATAGTCTTGCAGTATAATTGTTTCAAATCATGGTACAGATTTAAATTAAACAAGTTCAACGAGGAAACATGTTTAATGTGAATTTTTGCTTTCAAGCATTTAATGATTGTATTATTCGACCAACTACCTATTTTTAAGATTCATTTTCCAACAATTTTAACTTTTTTCTGATGATTTTCATCATCAGTTCCATTTGATTTTTTTCGTTTTCCACCAAAGAAACAATACAAAAAAACGCAAAATGAGAGAAAGAAAATGATTGTTAGAAAGAATACGGTAGTTCGCTCTTGCGCCTTAAAATTCGCCTTTAGCCCTCGATCACGACATGCGTTGGTTTCGAACAAGAGTAATATCAGACAATTTCCGGAATTGATATCAATAAGATTTCCAATTTGAGCAATGTCCAGAGTTTCAGAAACAGAACACTAAATATTTTATGAGTCAGTTTCAAAGAACTCGTTGACCTAGAACTTGAATTGGTGATTGAATAATTTCAATTCATGTATGAAATGAGTGAAACTGAAAATTTCAGTTTCATCAAACTTGTCAATACCAATTTGAATTTATTTATTTATTTATTTATTTCAACGAAGGGGAGAAAACCACTAACACGTGAAATGTCTATGAAACTAGGAGATATAACAGGGACATACATTTGTAGTAATTGGGAGATGAAGGAAAAACCGAGTTAGTAATTAGTTGAATTCAAGACAAGAAAATGTTTTAGATCACAGGATAATAGTCGATTTTTGAAAGCCGCTGACGAGGGCTTCACCGAAAACACTTTGGCGGATAAAGAGTTCCAACATCTGATTACTCTATTAGAGAAATTGAGAAGATATTTTTGTTGAGTTTTTGATAAGTGATTTGAGATAGTATTTGTGACGTCGCAATGATCCAGCATGATTAAATATTTCGAAAATTGGAACCTCCATGATAATTTCTTTGGAAACAATAATTTTATACGTGTAGACGAAATCATTATAGAGCCTGCGATACTCCAAGGAACTTAGCCGACATTCTTCCAGTGCTTCAAAGTATGAAGTGTATGCCATCCTGAATTTTTTGAAAACTCTGAGAACAAATGACTTTTGCACCGATTCCAATTCAATGAAAAAGAATTGTTTGTTTTTGTTTTTTTAATTACAAAAGTTTACATTTTTTCTTGTTAAACGATTAAATTTTTTCCAATTTTCAGATCTTTCTTATTTTCCGTCTCTGTGCAAATCACAATTTCCTTTCTAGTTTTTTCTTTCCAAAAAAAAAACAACTTCCGCATTCAAAAAATCCTTTTCTGACATTTCAAATGTCACACACAAAAAGTTTTTTCGTCCACAGATATACATTCATGTATGTATCCGAAAAAATGAATAATTGAGCAATTCAGAAATTCAGAAGGCAATCCACTTTTTTAGATTCAAAAAGTCACGTATGGTATGTCTGTCCC